ATAAAAATGTTCCTTTTTTCATAGAGGGCAAATAAGTCCTTAAAACCAGAGACCAAAGGGTCTTAACCGTCACCTGATTACAACACAACAATTAAGAGGATCCATCAATTGATAAATGAAGCTTTGTTGTCCAAAAGCAAGAAATATAGTATGATTACATGTAGCATCGACATAATAATTTGTCTAGTAATTATCTGTATACCATTTATTACTATTGCCATGCAGCCTATTAACAGAATATTTATTTTTTAATCCACATTGGCCCCTCTTGGCCTTTGAAGAATATATTTTAAAAAAATTGTCTCATTTTCATTCATTTATCGTTTCCAAGTCTACCTGATCATTAAACCTATGAAATTATGTTTGTATTATACAATAAATATTCTTGCAAAATTCTCTTATTCTATCACCTTTCAAATACATTATATATACATATGAATTATCAAAGGTGAGTGGCAAAAGGGAATAACTTTGCCCAGCAGAATACAATTTAAAAGAGCTCTGGCCAGGACCTGAACAGTTGACTAATTGGTCCTGATGTTCAAAATGCTGGTAAAAATACAATACTCTTGTATACCAAAACTTATCTCTGTTTGCCTCTGTTACCATGAAATTGATAATTTTTTGTTGTTCCCCTTAACCCATAGATGTATATTCCAAATTTGGTTGAAATTGGTTTAGTGGGTTCAGAGAAGAAGCTTAAAATGTTAACAAACGACACACAACCAAAGTCGTCATTAAAAAGGATATATCAATTGGTCCCCTGAGTAACTGGGGACCTTAAGACTTAAGACTTTAGAACACAAGACTTAAGAACACAAAGTATGTTATTAGTCATTTCACTTTCATCATTATCTAGCAATGCATTTTAACTAGTTTAGAATGATTCAAATTTCTTTATACATTGAATACCTTCTAATCATCATCCTTGTCCATATACTTTCAGGAAAAAAAATAATTTTAAATTGCATTGATATACTAGTATATATCATCATTACATATTACTTCCAACCAGAAGTCTCTGTCTAGACTGTAGCTCTGCTGGTTTGTATTTTCAACAAATTAAGAGAAAAATTCTTGTGTCAGTAAGAACTTGAATATAGGAGTAGCATTTTTAAAAAATTATTTACAGATAGATAGATGCTGCTCTATCGCATAAGCTCTTTTCTGGTCTCTGACCAGTTGAGCTAAAAAGTATACAAACATTCAAAGAGAAGTAACATATAACTATGGGTAATGTATAAAAATAGTTTGAATAAAATAAAATCTAATTACATTTTTTATTATGCAAAGTAGCTCCATGCATGCATACAGGGGTGAATTAAAAAAAATGACCAAACACATTTTTAACATCCACAACTTGATAGAAACAAGAGAACAAATGATGATGTTATTTTTACCTAACAATTCTAATTTAAAGACTCCCATTGTCTTGGTCAGGAGTGCAATAAAACATAAAGAAAAAATTAATAGGAGAATGTTTTTTGGTATGACCTCATAAACATATATAGGGAATAATGCAAGATATTAACCATTTAAATAATTTCATGCGTTTTAATTTTTAAGTTTAAGACTAAAAATATTGCACTTTTTTTTTATAACTCGATGGTGTCAAATATTTAAACCCTTCTCTGGGTTTAACTTTCATTTTTACTGCAGTCAGAAGTGCAACAATTACATGTAACAAAGATCTTATTTTTTTCACTAAAATATATTAAATTCAAACTATTTGATGTAAATTATTTAAACTACACCTTACTACTACTGCTTTCCAAGCTGAGAATAGATTATTGCATTTTATAATTAATTTTTACAGCAATGATAAATATTTTTAATACACATCAGTGGTCAGGAATGCCCAACACAATAATTTCAATAACTTAAAATAGGATAGATTCAAAATTTAGTATTTTTATTAAAATAAGAAAAATTGTATGTCAAAAAAGTTTCATGGTTTTATCTTAAAACTCAGAATTGGAAAAAATAATGTTATTAAAAACATCAATCAAAAACCTTTCTTTTTTTTGATATATATTTACAAGAGAAGAAACTAAGTAATAAAAGTTTAGAATTTATAATTTCTAATTGCTGATCAATTACAATTTCGGAGCATAAAAATTACATTTCTCTAGATTGGAAGTTTTAGAAAATTTTTAAGATCTTATAGCTTTTGTTATTTTCTTTTTTCAGAAAAAGTTGCACTAATTATAATTTAAAAACTCTGAAACTTTTTTAATGGTCATATTGCCACTACAAATTTTTTTACTGGAATACATGCACTATATGATGATATAGAATTAGTGAAAAATATGTTATGGGTAGTTGAAAATTTCCAAAAAAAAAAAATTTAAAAAAAAATTGTCATTATTTTTTTAATTCACCCACATACAATAAATTGCAAAAAAAAATAAATAAAATAATAGAATTCCTATTTCTAAATACATACCTGTGTGTTGACTGGCCATTCTCGTCTGTCAGGTGGACTGCCGAGGAAGTTCACCAGCTCTGTATACTCGGAGACCTCCATCTCTTCTTGAGGATGACGTTGTAATGATTACTATTGCTTTAATTAACTCTATTTAAACACCCGAATGTTGTATGTAAGTTAACCACCCCTCAATCTGGGCTACCCTATCAGTGCACTCTCAAAACACTGTATTGCATAATATAGAAACCACAAAGGGGAAGCAACAAGACAGTGGGGATTGTTGACCTCCTATGTTGACCTCCTATGACACCTCCCTGTGTACACACAATACACAGGTGCTATACCCCCGTTACCTCCTCAATGGAGAGATACCTTTCTTATTCAATAGCATTGTTCCTTAAAATTTCCTTCATCAAATTGTTAATTACATGTATATACAATTAAATAAAAATGAATAAATACCTTATGAGATTCATCATGATACATGTGTATAATTATAGTTATTTGATGTAGAATATTGTGGGTTTAATAGTAAAAAAAAAAAATTATTTCCTTTGTAAAAATTGTACACTTCAATATTATGATTATATTATCCTACCCTCAATTCTTTAAGAATTGCATGTATATGAAAAAAAAGTTTTATAATAAAGATACCCTACTCTCAAGTAGTGGAAGGGTGTAAGTGGGAGAAGGATTTTAGATTATTTGCAGGCATATTTTATCCTCACTCCCTTTTCAAAACAGTTCAATAGAGTGACTGAATAATATATGAGCCATAATATTTTAAGCCCCATCCCTATAAAAATAAATGGATGGGGGAATCGATATTTTATGGCCATAATATTTTGAACCCCCTCCCTGTAAAATTAAATGGGCAGGGGGACTCGATATTTTATGGCCATAATATTTGGAACCCCCTCCCATTTAATTTTAAAGGGCAGGGGGACTCAATATTTTATGGCCATAATATTTTGAACCCCCCCCCCCTCTTAGATTTAAAGGGCAGGGGGACTCAATATTTTATGGCCATAATATTTTGAACCCCCTCCCTCATAAATTTAAATGGCAGGGGGACTTGATATTTTATGGCCATAATATTTTGAACCCCCTCCCTCTTAAATTTAAAGGGCAGGGGGACTCAATATTTTATGGCCATAATATTTTGAACCCCCCTCCCTGTAAAATTAAATGGGCAGGGGGACTCGATATTTTATGGCCATAATATTTTGAACCCCCTCCCACTTAAATTTAAAGGGCAGGGGGACTCAATATTTTATGGCCATAATATTTTGAACCCCCTCCCTCTTAGATTTAAAGGGCAGGGGGACTCAATATTTTATGGCCATAATATTTTGAACCCCCTCCCTCATAAATTAAATGGACAGGGGGACTCGATATTTATGGCCATAATATTTTGAACCCCCTCCCTCATAAATTTAAATGGCAGGGGGACTCGATATTTTATGGCCATAATATTTTGAACCCCCTCCCTCATAAATTAAATGGACAGGGGGACTCAATATTTTATGGCCATAATATTTTGAACCCCCTCCCTCATAAATTTAAATGGCAGGGGGACTCAATATTTTATGGCCATAATATTTTGAACCCCCCTCCCTGTAAAATTAAATGACAGGGGGACTCGATATTTTATGGCCATAATATTTTGAACCCCCTCCCTCTTAAATTAAAAGGACAGGGGGGGTTCAATATTTTATGGCCATAATATTTTGAACCCCCTCCCTCATAAATTAAATGGACAGGGGGACTCGATATTTTATGGCCATAATATTTTGAACCCCCTCCCTCTTAAATTTAAAGGGCAGGGGGACTCAATATTTTATGGCCATAATATTTTGAACCCCCCTCCATGTAAAATTAAATGGGCAGGGGGACTCGATATTTTATGGCCATAATATTTTGAACCCCCTCCCTCTTTAATTAAAAGGACAGGGGGGGTCAATATTTTATGGCCATAATATTTTGAACCCCCTCCCTCATAAATTAAATGGACAGGCGGACTAGATATTTTATGGCCATAATATTTTGAACCCCCTCCCTCTTAAATTTAAAGGGCAGGGGGACTCAATATTTTATGGCCATAATATTTTGAACCCCCCTCCCTGTAAAATTAAATGGGCAGGGGGACTCAATATTTTATGGCCATAATATTTTGAACCCCCCTCCCACTTAAATTTAAAGGGCAGGGGGACTCAATATTTTATGGCCATAATATTTTGAACCCCCTCCCTCTTAGATTTAAAGTGCAGGGGGACTCAATATTTTATGGCCATAATGTTTTGAACCCCCTCCCTGTAAAATTAAATGGGCAGGGGGACTCGATATTTTATGGCCATAATATTTTGAACCCCCTCCCTCTTCAATTTAAAGGGCAGGGGGACTCGATATTTTATGGCCATAATATTTTGAACCCCCTCCCTCATCAATTAAAAGGACAGGGGGACTCAATATTTTATGGCCATAATATTTTGAACCCCGGGTTCAATATTTTATAGGGGGGTTCAATATTTCGCAGCGATATTTTGAACCCGGGTTCAAAATATCGCGGGGTTCAATATATTATATGACACTGTGCGGTGTACTGAAGAGTGAAGCTGAATTTGTCTCCCAATCCATCTTTGACTTTTCCAATATCGCTGTAAAGTTAGACCTCTCATAATATTGTGGTACTAAACAAAAGCTAAAATGAAGCTTTCTCAGGTGTGCTGTGATGTTTAAGAGTTTGATCGTGCAATTTCTAGATAATGTTTCAGTTTAAAATGCAAAAAAAAAAGTTTAATTAAAGCTATTCTTTCCATTGTAGGTAGAATTTATTCACAAATATATTTGGATATTTACTCTGCTAGTCGAGTAGTCAACTCCCCGCTCTGATGTTTGTCAAACCAACCTATTTCCTGTCTGACTATGGACCGGAAGTAGACTTTCCGAATAGTGTAAACCTGCCTCTCGCAAGTCGTCGTCCAACACATAATCTAGAAATTACAGCTTAATGGAAGATATGTTTGTTAAAATAAAACATTTAGGCTCTTACTAAGCGGTCCAGGGGTCATGACTCTTACCTGTAAGTACCCTGAGACTAGAACAATGCCGGCAATGTACAAATAGTAGAAGGCGTACGTGGTCATTTTGTCATTAAATTCATCCACGGTCGAGTTGTTTCCGGTCACATTTCCGGTGACGTTGAAACTGATGGTTCCATTAACACAGATCAACTGAGCGCCACCCGGGCCTTGAAAATGAAGGTTTGTTAGAAGCCATTTTAAAAACTAATGTGTTACTTAAACGTTAAATATTAATTGAAACATTTTAGACCATACATTGAGATGATACCATTTATAGAAGGTTGATTATTGAAAAGCACAACAGATAGTTGGTTTTAGTTTTATCTTTTATATTAGTTAATATATAACCTTGACATTCCTGAAAGTTGCTTTGATTTTTATATTCATTTTAGTTAGGCCTTACATGATTAGAGATGATGTTTTAGTTAATCAATAAAGATCTGACGCTGTTACAGACCTGTCACGAACGTGTCGGTCAATTCTCCAAAGATGACGGACAGAGCTGGCCATCCTCCGCCTACAGCTATAGCGAAGACACTGCCCACTAGGATCAGGAACCTGTCAAAAGCCGTTGCATACCGGAACTACAATCAAAAGTATTCACCATCAATTTTACATACTAATTTTTATGCTGACCTACCGGTCAGCAGGGGATACTCACCCTTCCATGACATTTGGTCCCAACGTAACTCTGATGTTTTCGAGGATCGTGTTTGCTCTGTTTTATGGACTTTTGATCTTGAATACTGTTCGTTATCTCCATATGTTTCATTTTTTATACTGAATGAGACTACGCAATGTTCCTTCTACCTGGTTAATACATAGGATTCCTGGAGGGTGTGACCGGTCAACAAGGGATGTTTACTCCTCCGAGGCACCTGATCCCACCTCTGGAACTTCCAGGGGTCCTTGTTTAGGCCCTCTTAACCCATAAGAAATGGTTAAAGAGTTTGTTTAGATTGATCGCTGCTCGTTATCTTGCTTTTTTCATATAGCAAATCTATCAGTTTTAGGTCTCTTCTCTCGTAATCAGAGTTTTCTTAAATAAGTACTAGTATGAAGATCTCGCAGAACATTTAATGTGAATTGGGTGGTACTGAACTACATAACAGGCAAATAAATGTAACAAAAGGTGCACTTACCAGCTGTCCAAACGATGCCGACTTCGGGGAATTCCTGAAAAACCAAACAACAGTTATAATGTGGGTCTACGTTCTAAATATAAGTACTAAACACAGTACACACTATCTATTACCTACGCTGAGAAACTCTTTAGGTCCATAATGGCGCTAAATACGGGTGCCTTTCTGGGACAGGTGGTCGTTTATTTATGTTTATCCCTGATAAGAAGTAAAGACGTACTCGAGAAGAAAATGTCACTGTATTCGATAAGGAAATATTAGCTCGATGTGTTCCTATACAGTATCTCTGTGAAGCCGGTCAAATACTGAAACGTACATGGATAAATCAATATATAAAGGATAAGATTAGGAAACATTTTGAAGCTATTCCTTCTACGATTACTCATACAGCAGTCACCCGCCTGACTCAGTTTCTATCACGTTTACTTTGGAGTCATGACGTTAGGAGTTGATCCTGAATTTAATACATGTTTGAATCTAAAATGTTATGATGTGGACGGAAGAAGACCAGCTGAAGCCTCAGAGTTTCAATGTAAGAAGATACAAATCTTGCGTGTACTAACGTAACGTTGAAATTGCGCCGTGACATATGAAAGATATATTTTTTATCAATGTTATAAACAATATATTTTACAAATTTGCACTTTTTTATGAAATGCTGGTTTTTTATTAAAGGTAAGGGTTAGGGTTAAACTTTTATAAAAATTATCTTTTTGCTCTTAATTGGAGCTGAAATTAAACTCATTAATTCATGATTTTATTACAGCTTTTTTTTTAACATCAAAATGAAATTACATCATTTTAATGGAATTTGAAGGAATGCAAATTATAAACAAATACAAGAACATAAATTATAAAAATACGGATATAATCCTAAATGCACATTTAGTTAATTAGCTATAGAAGTTCATATAACTTACAGAAAATATGGTTAGAGGATTATCATAAAATATGGAGAAGACGAAAGGTATTTATGGTTAGAACTTAAAGAAGTCCCTTGAAATAATACAATTCGAGAGCAGAGCAAACATGGACCAGGGGCGGAATCAGGTGCTATCAAGGAGTAAGCATCCGCTGTTGTCACATGACAGCAACTTTGTGTTACTGGTCATGATGGCAAGCAAAAAGTCCAAAGACAATTCAGTGTGTGAATAATGGTCTTACAATAAGTACGAAACCGCAGTCAGCATTCGACTTAATGACTGATTGCACTGTCTGACAAGGTCATCGACCAGCAAACTTACAAAATGATGATTTTTGTCGGAAGATCTGATCTCCAAAATCTATAAACAGAAGTTGACAATCAGTAGCTCAAGCATTCTTTTAATAGCAATTTATGAGCACTTTGTGTACATTGAGAATGGTTAACAAAAAGAGAATTTATTGATAAAGCAGCTGTCTATAAACTCAAAAAAGCCTGCGTTTAATCGTTTGGATAGGTTGTGTAAGCTGTTTTAAAGTACTATATTTTTTAACTTATTTATTTTGATGAAAGTTTTTGATTTCAAATTCTCCAAAAGTTCTTTTGGAGTTTTTTAAGTAACCACATATGATTTCACACCACTTTTTGAATATATTCCTGTCCAATACTCTTGAGGGGTCTTCGTCAATACTGTAAATATTGTAGTGAAGAGTAAAGAAAAAGGTTAGAACGCTTACACTTGGGACCTGATCCCACGTCTGATGTTTTGGAGGTCCGTGTTTGCTCTGCTCCTGTTTTGTATTGTTTTATAGACTTTTGATCTTGAATACTGTTTGTTATCTCCATATGTTTCATAACCAGAACCCGCTTTGTAGCTTGTTGAATGTTCGTTAAGGTTTTTGTTAAGGTTTTTAAGCTTAGGAATCAGCTATAAGTATGATAATTTTAATTCATTTCGATTGATGAAAATATTAAAGATGTTTAAAACTAATGTAATTTAATTAAAGAATTTCTTTCTTAGAATGGGAACTATGAGTATTATTAGATTTACATTTGATGAAACAGCCCAGTTTCTCTCAATTTCAAGAAATATAACGAGCCTAACAAATAAAGACTTGTTTTTACAAAGGATACCATTTTTCATTTCTGAAAAATTTCGTTCTACGTGTCTGTATCCCGTACTCTGTATCTGTTGCATGATTTGTATTTGCTTTATTTACATTTATTTTCTCAATAAATGACCGATTTTACCTTTCATATGAGTTAAACATTTTAATTTATAAGGATATGCTGGCTTTATGCCTATATTATACAGTTATTGACTGGGTATGAGGGCAACATATTATTTGTTGGACCTGAAGGTGAAAATGTTGCCCTTTGCCGCAGGCCAAGGGCAACATTTTCACCTTCAGGTCCAACAAATCATATGTTGCCCGAATCCCAGTCTATAACTGTTTTGTTATACCCTTCACTGCTCACTTAAAATTGATCAATTTAATCAATACACGTTATATTATCAATACTGTATATATGGGAAATTATGGCTTAATCAGTAAATAAAACATCACGATGAGAAAGAACAATATCAATTATATATTTATTGTATCACAAAAATTATTTATCATAAAAATACTTTTCCCTTCTTCCTTACCTTGCTGTTAGCAACAACTCTTGCAGATCTTAACTTCGGCTATTTCCACGTCGCCGTGATAAACGATGATTAATTACTTGTGACGTAACAGTAACAGTGACGTTGCGGTCTAACAATTCTTATGTAAAGGTGCGGTCACACGATGAGATTTTTCATCCGATTTTCCAACCGATTTTTTCATCCGATTTGCTTTCGACTAAAATCTTACCGTGTGACCACCCAAGTCGAAAGTCGAAAGCAAAGTCTGAAAGTCGTTTGGAAATCGGATGACCGTCAGATTTTCAATTGACTTTCTGAAGAAAATCGTGACGTCACAATGACATTTCCCGCGACACGATATAAAAAAAAAAAATACAGAATTGGTCTGTAAAATAATAACAGTTCATGTTATATATTAAGACACCTGTCTAATGAAATAAAGAGAAAACACCTAAATCCAAAATTATTGTGTGGAAAAGAAAAATTACTAGTACATGTACATGCATATAAAAAAATATCATTTATTCTTCAACCATAGTTTGCAAGTACGGAAATTTGTGTCTTTATTATGCATAAATTTATGATTTTTCACAAATATTTTTTCGATTAATTAAGAGCTAAATATAATAGATTACACTTCATTCAATTAGTGAATATTATCAAAAATGAAAGTTTTAAACAGATTTAAATAAATTATCAATTATCTTTATATGAATCTTAAATATATAAGTTACTAATCTCTTGATGGCGAACACTTTAATTAAAATACATGCGTTATATCGTGGATATTATTTGTACAAGTGTCTGAACTAACTCCTCTCCCCCACTTCTGCTTTTTTTAAGAAAGATAGACATAATATAGGCATTAGAAATTGGGATATAGGTTTAGCCCCCCTTTCAAATCGCAAGTTGCATTTTAGGTAAGAGGTAGGCGTACGTGTTTGTAATAAAATGGCACTAAAAGAAGTTCGAGCCCCCCCCCCCCCCTTTCTTAACGAAATGTGGTTTTCGTCGTATTTGATCATTATGCACATTTTTTTTTTTGCTTGTCAAGTTTTGCTTGTAAGTTTGATTCTTTTCTTAGCCCGGCCCACTTTCAATTTGCTTCCGATGTCAATGATTTGGGAGGGGAAGGGGAACTCCTATTTCTATTAAACAATTTTTTTTCTACAGACTACAATAATCAGCAGTAATTTCCGTAAAACATTTCAATAATCAGTTAATTTACATATTGTAAGTAGAATTTATACTTTTTTTAAAATCTTATTTTTAATTATATAATTAAGAAAATAGTCTATTCTTTACGTAACTACAAAATATTATTTTTGTTCCGCTTTTTCAACTCTTGAAGAAGGTCTTATAAACTGCATGTTTCTCGCCTATTTATTAATACTTTTTTCATCAACGGCTGGCCTATCATACAAAGTGTTAACTTTTGTGATGCATATTATTGTCCCCCGCTTGAAAAGTGGGGGATATTAATTTGGGTTTGTCCGTCCGTCCGTCCTTCTGTCTGTCTGTAATGCTTTCGTTTCCACACGATATCTCGAGAACCCTTTGAGCTTTTGCAATGAAATTTAGCATAGCAACTCCCTATGGACTAAAGAAGACCCCTATTGAATTTGAGGTCAAAAGGTCAAAGGTCAAGGTCATAAATAAGCAAATTCTGTCTGTTAAAACACTTTCGTTTCCACACGATATCTCGAGAACCATTTGAGCTATTGCAATGAAATTTTATATAACAACTCCCTGTGGCCTAATGAAGACCCCTATTGATTTTGAGATCAAAAGGTCAAAGTTCAAGGTCGTAAATTTATACATTCTGTTTGTATGTAAAACTATCATTTCCGGGCGATATTTCAAGAAGATTTTGAGCTTATGCAATGTAATTTTATACCAAAACTCCTAGGACGTCTCACGCCCCTCTCAAAGTGCCCCGCCCCGTTTGTTTTATTAGTATTTATAGTATTACGTCGCTATTTTTAGCGCAGGGGCATGAGGAGAGTTATTGCGTATAAAACAGGTTCTCGGCGGACATTATGTTCTTATTACATCTATTAGAACTGTTTAATAAAGGCTAAATAAATCAAACACCATGGATTGTGTAAAATTTTGAGAATATCGAACATGAAAACATGAATATATACATGTATGTGACTTCATTTCTGCATATACTTCAGACCATGCGAAGCGTTTCCGTGGTCTAGTGGTTAAGTCTCTCGCATCAAGTTTGAGAGGTCCCGGGATCGAATCTCGGTCGAATCTCTCTTTTTTTTATTATTATTTTTTTAAATACTTTTTTTTTTTTTTTTAAATAAATGATAGTATTCAGCATGTGAAATGAAAAATTTATGAGGTTATAAAATCATCATTACAGTGTGATAAACATTCCATATAAAAAAATCTTCTATACACATAATAAAGAATAAGCAATTAAATATTTATATGCATATTGACATACATGTACTTTATTTGCTTCAGTATACATGTATACATTTAATAATTCTACAAATTCAGTCAGGGGGAGCCGACTTTTTCCCTAAGCGGGGGACACGAATTCTCTGAATTAGCTTGTTTCCCCTTTGTTGGTTGACCAAAATATATTGCAGATTTTTTTTTTGCCGAAGTAGGAAGTAATTAACTTCGATTGATCATCTACTTTTGAGTGATCATAGACATGTTTTGTACCGTGTACTCGTACACTACGTCAACATCAATGT